TTAGCTAAACAAATACAATAGGGCAAGTTTTCAAATATCCAGCGTTTTAGCGTTTTGTCAAATGGGTGGTTCATTGGTTGCCGTTTCATTTTTTTTTTTCTCAAAGCATACATATGTATATACATACATAAATATATATTTACTTGCCTACAAACTTATACAAGTTTTGCTCTTGAGTCGCTGGTGTACTCGTACCATTTTAGTGGTTGTCTACCTCGAAACAGTCTAATTTGTTTACAATCTTCTTCGATCGTATTCGCAAATTTTCGTTGGCTCATTTATCTGTTTGCGCTACCCATATTTCTTGATTTTAGTATAATATTTTTGAAAATTCAGGTTTTTCATTCGATTTCGATTTGTTGAATCAATTAGTTTCCGTTGAGTTTTTTGCCTTACTTATTTTCATGTGTATGCTACAAACACACACATGCAAGCATACATGCCCTGTGGGGAAAATCTTTAGTTCTGAACTGGGGCGCTTCTAGTACATTTAGTCCCAGTACTGGTTCGCGATAAATCTCTTTTGCATGCAAGCAACTGGCGAATTTAACATGGCGATGTCCTAGGAAGTATCAATGTCCCCGCTGCATCCCTTTTTCGATAGTTTCGAACTAGTCCTAAATTCTATAGTTCCGAACCAGTTCTGAAATCGACAGACGAAAGAAAAAATTATCATGATTTTTTTAATCTTTTTGGTTCTTCCGTGTGCGCGATTTTAAGTTATTTTGGAAGAAATGTGTTTTCAATTTGAAATTAAATTTGTTTGAATGATTGTAAGAAATGTACGTTTACATACCTTTAGCTGTAGCTGAGTTTGCAGAGGTGCTCGCTGTTATTTGTTACATTCCAGTTGGCCCCAAGTATGTTAATAGTATGTTAATACAATGTTTTGTTTTGTATTACCAAACTATGAAATAGCATCTGCGAAGTGCAGAATGAAAGTGCATTTGAACGAAAAAGCCGCCAAACACATATCTATGTAAAGTAAACAAGCCCCCGCTGCATCCCTTTTTCGATAGTTTCGAACTAGTTCTAAATTCGACAAATAGGATCTAGTTCGTTCTGCATCCCTTTTTCTATAGTTCCGAACCATTTCTAAATTCGTCACTTTAGATATCGATTTCTAGTGGAAAAACTGAAATAAATTAGTTTTTTAAAAGTACCACTTTTCTCCGATTTTGGACTGGTGGGGATTTAGTTCGTATCGGACTAGTTCGTTTTTGGCGATAAAGACCTACGGAACTAGAAATTTGATTCACTAGTCCGCGGTTTCCCTGCAGGGTGTGCATGTACATATGTATGTCCAATAAACAATTCAGTTTGCGGTTGAGTCGGATAACTGATGAGCATCTACTACATCCTTTGTTTCCTAGCGTGAGAAACTTAAAAGTGTTCGACATAAAATACAATTTTTATGGAAATTGTTGCGCTTTCAACGAAAGGCGAAAGGCTGGTTGTCCAGTTTATTTTCAAATAAACTTATTGAATTAACTACTATCAAATTGTAGGTCCCTCATTCGCTTGGCAAAGGAAGAAGGAAAATTTGTTTAACGTTTGTTGGGTTTCGCATAGAAATCTACATAAATTGACTTGAACTACACAATTTCTTATCAAAAACAGGTAATAATGCACCTTCACCGTTGAATGACATCAGATGTACGCAATTTAGATACCGTTAAGCATAAATATATTTTGATTTCGGTTATAGTGGAGCAGATCTGCATAGCTAATAAACTATTCTACAAATGACTGACAACCTGGAAGGGAAAAAGTTTTTGAAAGTCAGCTGCAATTCAGACTAGAGATGGGCGCGCGATATCGGGACCCGCGGGACCCACGGCACTGATTTCAAATTTGCCGGGATGGGCGGTATCGGGAAGGTTTGAGAAATTTTGCGGGTGTGACGGGACCAAAATCCTTTCCCGACAATCCCGATAAAACCACAACCTCAGCAAATTTGGAAAATCTTCCTTAAAACGAAGTGTGAAATATGCACTTTTTTATGTTTTATTGGGAAGAAAACGAACAGCAAAAGCAAAACAAGAAAAACCGAAGATGCCAGATCTGTCATTATTATATTTTTGTTATCTAAAATTAATTTGAAAGACATGTGCATTTTTCCTAGTGATATATTTCGGGATCCATGGGACCCGCGGTACAATTCTCTGAAAAAAACGTAGGGATGGGCGGGTTCGAGACTTAAAAATTGAATTTCGGGATGGGCGGGATCGAGACAAAATATTTAGTCCCGTGCCCATCTCTAATTCAGAATTTGGTGCCAGTAAGTGGCTTTACGAATTCTTGTTCCATAATAAATTTATTCTCCTGCGACTGATGTGAAAGCTCCAGAGACGTCGAAAATTCAACACTCTTTCTGTAATTCTCTAGTACTTCCCCCTTCGTATTTGATTTTTATGTGACTAATTTATTTATTAATGATTGAAATATTTGTATAACTTCCAGATAAAAAAAAAACTAGTTCATTAGTAATTACCCAACAAGCATTTCAGTAAACGTTTTTAAAAATAACTTAAATTAAGTTTGCTATAATAAGCGTTAAATAAGCATTTTTATACCCGAGCGCACTTGTGCACAAGGGTATTATAACTTTGTTCACATAACGGTTGTTTGTAACAGGCAAAACGAATCGAGATAGATATAGACAAATGTATACATAAATGATCAGAATGAAAAGAGAAATCGATTAAGCGGTGACTGTCTGTCCGTCCGTCCGTCCGTCCGTCCGTCCGTCCGTCCGTCCGTCTGTGCACACGATAACTCGAGTAAAAATTGAGATATCTTAACGAAACTTGGTACGTGAACTTCTTTTGGGCGTGGGACGGATGGTATTGAAAATGGGCGAAATCGGATTATAACCACGCCTACCTCCCATATAACTGTAATTTAAAGAAATACGAAAACTGCGATATTTTAGTAACTACTGAAGATAATTCACTCAAAATCGATACTTACAATGAGTTTCAGACGGAAAACATGAATATTATAAATTTTTGGAAAATGGGCGTAGCCACGCCCACTTATGGTTACATGTGTATATCTTGGTAACCGCTGCACCAATTTCTTCCAAACTTGGCACAGTTGTTGGCCTTAGTACAGCTTACTAAATGGCTGAAAATTTTAAAAATCGGACAATAACCACGCCTACCTCCCATATAACGGTAATTTTCAGAAAAAACGAAAACTGCGATATTTTAGTAACTACTGAAGATAATTCACTCAAAATTGATATTTGCAATGAGTTTTAGACGAAAAATAAGAATATTACAAAATTTTGGCAAATAGGCGTAGCCACGCCCACTTATGGTTACATGTGTATATCTTGGTAACCGCTACACCAATTTCTTCCAAACTTGGCACAGTTGTTGGCCTTAGTACAGCTTACTAAATTTCTAAAATCGGACAATAACCACGCCCACATCCCATATAACGGTAATTTCGAGAAATACAAAATCTTCGATAAATCAGTAAATATTGAAGCTAATTTATTCAAAATTGATGATTGCAACAATTCCTTACCAAGAAATACGTTTATGACAAAATTTTGGAAAATGGGCGTAGCACCGCCCACATATATGTATCTCGCTAACCGTTCTAGCAATTTGTACCAAGCTCGGTATGGTTATTGTGCTTGCCACATAAAAGCAAACCGTTGAAAATTGTTGAAATCGGACTAAAATTGAGGCCGCTTTTCATATAACGGTAAATTTCAGATATGCTTGAAACTGCAATATTTCGAAATTTAAGGACGCTAATTTACTTAAAATGTATACACCCCGGCTTATCATGTAGCGGTAGCTTTCGGAAAGGTGGAAAACTTATATTTAATACTTGCGCCGGGTATTTAATGTTCGGCTCCGCCCGAACTTAGACTTTCTTACTTGTTATTTAATAAATTTATTCTCGTGCGACTGATGTGAAAGCTCCAGAGACGTCGAAAATTCAACACTCTTTCTGTAATTCTCTAGTACTTCCCCCTTCGTATTCGATTTTTATGTGACTAATTTATTTATTAATGATTGAAATATCTGTATAACTTCCAGATAAAATAAAAAAAAACTAGTTCATTAATAATTAGTTAAAAAACACATTCGGATCGGATCGTAAAACCGACTACACAGCCAGTCAAGTTCTAACTGAACTTGTCATGTGCAAAGGGTTAAATCAGTGTCCGGACTGTGAAAAGATCTTTAGTAGTAGACTAGCAAATACCCGGCGTGCTTCACTGCGCCTCAGAAGTATTTTTGTGTTTTTATTCCCTCCCATTCATTCATAAAAAATTAAAAAATATTTGAAGTGAGATTTTCGAAAAAAATTTCGATGTATGAAACAAACTTAATTTTTGTATGAACAAGGGTGTAAGTTAATGAATTTTTGAAGGTGTTTAATCCTGGATATTTAACTTATACTCCTATAACTCGCGTCTACATATTGCGCACTTTTTTAAAATGTGTATTAATTCAGTATTGAGTCAATACTATTTTATGCAAATTTAATTTGTGAACTTGAGTTTGTGTCTGATCTATTTGTTTAGTGTAATATTTATATTCACAGGCAAATTTAAACAGAAACAACAAAGGACTTTTAGGCAATATATTTACATTTCATATACATACATAAATACAAAATAAATTTACAACTAAATAATAATAATGACAAGCCTTGACAAGTTACGGCTGAGAAACTTTTACTATTCGCGGTATACATCTGTTTTTTTTTTTCTCACCAAAAATGCACTTCAACATATCAAAAGATTTGATATGAGGTTCGAAAACTTCAGGAAAAAAATTTCAAAATTTAAAACCATAAAGAACTATTATTTATTCTATTATGACAACATACATATCTTGTTTTTGATATGGAAACTCAACAAACATATATATTAATATCGTTCGCTTAATTAAAGACAATAAAAATTCTGTTAAAAATTCCAATTGTACACACACTTCTAAGAATTTTTTGTGTAGGAAAATATAAATATTTCGATCGATATGTTTGCATAGAAATACTCTGATTTGCATACATAACCGTATGTATGTTTGTATGTATCACTTCAAGTGATCGTAAAAATGTCTTAAAAAAGCGTGCGTACCAAACCTAAAAGCGTAATGTATGCAGTGGCAATATTTAAAAATGCTTAAAATATACCTAAAATTTTGTTTCTATGGCGACGAAATTCTATTCTAATTAGCAAGTGGTCGATTAGTTGCGCACTTACTTTATGGTTGGTTGGTGCGGAAGTGTTGCTTAGCTCTGTTTTGATAAACAAAACTCTAAGATGTTATGGTAATTTTGATTGCGTCACAATAAAATATTTTTTTTATATAAATTATCACCTACCATGTGCATTTTAAAGAAGTGT